AGGGACTCGTCCAGGCAGTCGCCGCAGAATCGGTCACGATTGAGTGCGGATTAAAAAAAAAAAAATTCTCCCCGGCCACCTCTGCTGAATGGGGGACACAGAATTTCCCACAGTTGCTTGTTAAAGATATTTGAGAAGTGTGTAAGAAAGCAACTGCGCTCCCTCATTGTTTGTCCCGGCTTTTGGCTATTTAGTCAGGGGTATATATCCTCCAAATTTTGAATTTTGCTACCCACCCTTTCAAATTAATCTAAGTCAATAGACAACATTTCTTGTGGCAGCCTGTTTCTCCACTGCAGAAAGGAGTGGATTAACAGCGCTCTTACAAAATTTCTGGTGCATTTTTCCCCCTGAATAGAAAATGGAAGCATTAGGATTTTACTTCTGAGAACTATAAAAAGAGTGAATATCCCTTAAGGATTCTCTCGTGCATTTCTCTATGACTCAGAGAATAAAGAGGAATTGAATGTAGTGACTTGTACAAATCTATCTTCTTGGAAAGAATGTAATACCGCAGTTTCGGTCTCCCCATAAAACTGTTTCCCTCAAACGCTTCATGTGAAGCACAGCTTTGTCCCAGCCCTCAAAAAAGGCCAGCAGGAAGGAGGAAGTTTTCCCTAAGAGACTCATGCAGGGATGCAACAGACACTCTGCAAGAAAAGGCAGTTCTCTTGGCCCAAACAGTATTGTTACAGAGGGGATATAAGGCAGCTTTTTTTTCAGAAGAGCAACAACGATGTTTGTGTGAAGGCTGGTAAGTTTCATGTACCTGCCTTGTCCGGCCACATCAGTGTGGTGGTAACAAGCCTTGCCAGTTAGCAGATCAGCAGAAAATCAGAATATGAGGAAAATAATCAGAAGTTGGATATTGCTCAATGGTGATCTGCAATGAGATGCTAAAGTTTGCATTTCTACGGGCTGAAGACCTTTGATTCAAGCACATTTATTGCTAGGTAACTGAGGCTGGGTTCAACCACACACTTACTTGTGGCTAGCTGATATCCTAATTACCCTATTTTCAGGGTGTGTATCACACAATGAACCACAGAGGCTGCAGGAGGTCCCCATGCTGGGCTTAAATGGCGTTTGTGGCCCCTGAACGCAGCCCCTGTACAAAGTCCTCCGTCCTGATACTCTGAGTGCTGCTCCTTGGAGGAAAAGTGTCTTTATGCACATAAAAACAGCCCGCGTGTAAATAGTGGGTTAACTAAGCCATATTCCTGAATCAAAGAGGCAGAGAACAGTCTCTGCCTTAACTCAGTTTACAAACCGCAGCAGTTAGTCCCGCTACTGTATAAGCTAAGCCAAAACGGGACTACTTGCGCGCCTGTGAAGTCAGCCAATTATGGTTATTCTCTAACCAGTGTTTCTTAAACCGTTTTTCACTCAGGGCCCCTTCCCACTTTTAAACATTATGGAGGACCCCAAAAGAGCTTCGTTTGTATGGGTTACATGTATCGATATTTACCAGATTAAGAGTTAAAATGGACGCATTCGCTGTCGCTCCGGCTTCTCACGCGTGTTTGATGGGATTGTAATATTGTGTTATTTTTCAACGTAGGCTGGCAAATCGTTTTGATTTCGCGGACCCCTGAGAGGGTCCTGGGGGTCCCCAGGGGTCCTGGGACCACACGTTGAGAAACACTGCTCTAAGCCACGATTAAGCGAGCCACGGCTTTGCACGCCACATGAACAGGGTCTCGGGCGCCTTTTCCAGCTCGAAAACGTCGAACTCGCACCCCCGCGCAGCACGGATTTGGGGAGCTCCCCTTTATCACCCAGAGACCCTCCCCACCATCCCGACCTCCTCAAAGCCCCACCCGCGCGGGTGTCGTCATTTCCAGCGCTGGCGTCGCGCTGTCACATCCGCCTCCCCGGGAGGAGGAGACGCCAGAGGGTGGGAGGCCCGGCGCAGCGGCGGCTGCTAGCTCCAACTTGCAGGCCCGACGCGTAATGCGGAGCGCAGGGGCGCCCGGTTGGAGCTCCCTGGCG